TCATTCGATACATTTTAATGTTGTATTTTAATTTATTTGCATAATTTCTCTAATGTTTTTTTTTCTTGTCTTTTTTTATAATACTGAGTTTTTTTCCTATTAATGCATGTTCACTTTGTCAAAAATTTAGGAAAGAATAAAAATCACACACACACAAAAAGAATAAAAATCACCCCAAATTGTCTATAGATAACTATATTACCATTTTGGTAAATTATTTTAGTATGATTTCTGTAGACATATATATTTCATACAGTTGAGACTACACTGTATAAACAGTTCTAAAACAGTTCTAAAGCCTATTTTTTAAAAAATCTAACATTACACCAAGGACAGTTTCCATGCCATTGAAAATTACATGGGCCACACCGACCAGGACGGCAAGATAGATAATAGCAACCGTGGCAAGGACGTGGAGACATCTGGAGCCTGCACACTGCTGGTGGGGATGTGAAATAGGGCCCTCCCCCCGGAAAACAGTCTGGCAGTTCCTCAGGCAGTTAAGCATAGAATTATATGACCCAGCAATTTCACTCCCAGGGATATATTCAGGAGAAATGAAAACATCCACGTAAAAATTTGTACATGAATGTTATTACCAATATTATTCATAATAACCCCCAAATGAAAACAACACAAGTGTCTATCAACTAACACATGGTTTTAAAAATGCCATACATCTGGACTTCCGACCAACATGGAGGCGTAGATGGACACACCATGGGCCCCGGGCGTGCAAAGCAGCAGCTGCCAGACCCCAGGTTTGAGGTGACAGCGGGCGAACCCAGTAAGGCAGCGGATTGTGGAGGGGCACAGCACCCAAGGTGGCTGACGGACTAGGTGGTGCCACATTCACATGCAGATAAACCAGGCAAAACTGGGTAGCAAGACAGACTGCACAGCCCAGGGCCCCAGTGTCGGGAAATAAAGACTCAAAACACCGATTGACAACACCTGTGGGAGTTGAGGTGCTGAGAGAGACTCCCAGCCTCACAGAAGAGTTCGTTGGAGAGACTCACAGGGTCCTAGAATGAACACAAGCCCATCCACATGGGAATCAGCACTAGAAAGGCCCAGTTTGCTTAAGGGGAGCAGCGGGAGGGACTGAAATCTGAGAGAGAGTGGAGAAAGTGCCATTGTTCCCTCTCTGACCCCTCCCCCACATATAGTGTCACAACTCAGTGACATGGGTTGCCCTGCCCTGGTGGGCACCTGGTCCGCCTCTCACTACATAACAGGCATGCCCAGACCAAAAAAAAAAAATGGCCCAAACGAAAGAACAGATTGAAGCTCCAGAACAAATACAACTAAACGACAAAGAGATAGGCAACCTATCAGATGCACAAATCACAGCACTGGTGATTAGGATGCTCACAGAGTTGGTTGAATTTGGTCACAAATTAGATGAAAAAAATAAAGGCTACGCTAAGTGAAATAAAGGAAAATGCACAAGGAACCAAGAGTGATGGAAAGGAAACTGGGACTCAAATCAATGGAGTGGACAAGAAGGAAGAAAGAAACATCCAATCAGAAAAAAATGAAGAAACAAGAATTGAGGAGAGGCTTAGGAACCTCCAAGACATCTTTAAACGTTCCAACATCTGAACTATAGGGGTACCAGAAGGGGAAGAGTAAGAGCAATAAGTGGAAAACTTATTTAAACAAATAATAAAGAAGAACTTCCCCGATCTGGCAAAGGAAATAGACTTCCAGGAAGTCCAGGAAGCTCAGAGAGTCCCAAAGAAGTTGGACCCAAGAAGAAACACACCAAGGGGCATCATAATTACATTTCCTAAGACTAAAATGAAGGAGAGAATCCTAAAAGCAGCAAGAGATGAGACAGTTACCTACAAAGGAGTTCCCATCAGATGTCAGCTGATTTCTAAAAAGAGACCTTATAGGGAAGAAGGAGCTAGAGAGAAGTATTCCAAGTCATAAAAGGCAAGGACCTACACCCAAGATTGCTCTATCCAGCAAAGCTTTCATTTAGAATGGAAGGGGAGATAAAGTGCTTCTCAGATAAGGTCAAGTTAAAGTAGTTCATCATCACCAAGCCCTTACTATATGAAATGTTAAAGGGACTTATCTAAGAAAAAGAGAATAAAAAACATGTACAGTAAAATGACAGCAAACTCACAATTATTAACAACCACAACTAAAATAAAAACATAAACAAAGTAAGCAAACAACTAGAACAGGAACAGAACCACAGAAATGGAGATCACATGGAGGGTTAGCAACAGGGGAGTGGGAGGAGGACAGAGGGGGAGAAGGTACAGAGAATAAGTAGCATAGATGGTAGGTAGAAAATAGATGGGGGGAGGGTGAGAATAGTATGGGAAATGTAGCAGCTAAAGAACTAATGACACATGGACATGAACTAAAGATGGGGAATGTGGGTGGGAGAGGGTGTGCAGGGTGGAGGGGAGTGAGGGGGGGAATGGGACAACTGTAATAGCATAATCAATAAAATATGTTTAAAAATAAATAAATGTGGGGGTGACTTGTCCCGCAAGTTCCCCCGTCCGCCACAGATGAAAGTAAACAAGATGTGATGTGATCTGCTTGGGGAGGTATAGGGGCGCAAGTCCCCCCGTGTGCCACGGATGAGAGTATTTCTAACATGCTGGGGGCCTTACTCACAGATGCCCCTGATCCCTCTGGGGATGAAGATTTCCATCTCATTTAGGCATGCATTTGTGGCAATGGCTCAAAGCCTCTGGATCGAAGCAGGTCCCGAATTTGTTGGGTCCCTCTTCGGGCACCAGATGTGGAGGCAACTTTCCTCCCAAGCCCCCCTGTGTGCCACAGATGAGAATAAACATGACTGAGACATGATGTGATCTGCTTGGGGAGGAGAGGTGGCCAGTTTCCCAGAGGAAAAAGGCCTTGAGCAGTGTCCAGTTTCTCAGGGGAAAAAGGCGTTGAGCTCTCTCATCCAGGGGCTTTTACTGGGTTGTAATACACAGGAATGCAGGGCAACAAGGATCAAACAGTAGATAACATTACAAAGAAATCTGAGGGCTTACTATGAGTCAGTGTCTGTCAGGAAGAGAGTTGCAGAAACTTTGGGAGACATACTCATTTCCTCTCGGACCCTTATCATATGAATGAAAGCACTCTTAGCAGAGCAGATTTCACAGGTTTGTCAGGAAGTCTTTGTGATGCCAGATTTTTCCCCAGGACACACTCTAGCAAGGCAAGCAGCTGCACCCCTCCCCATCAGGTATTCAGTCTTAAGGGGATTAGAGCCAGAAAGTGCTTCTCCCAGAGGACATGGTGACTCAGGCTTTGTCAAAGCAGGGGGGTGAGAGTCCTTTGCTCTTTGTTGCAGCCCAGGTCCTTCCATGATGGCCTCCCAAGTGATTGTGTTTGGCCTAGGTTGCTCCTCCTTTGAGGGGTCTTACTCATCAAGGACTTCTGACCATGCTTTGGGGGCAGGGAGGAAACTGGGACAGCATTTGCTACTAGAGACAAGCCTTGACTCCTGTGGCTCACATTCCAGAGGTCACCGACTCATCCTTAGTCACAGAGGGTAGAGTTTCAATTCCTAAAACCAGGCAGAGCAGTCCACAACAGGGAGGAGGGGTGGCCAGTCCCTCAAAAGGGAAGGGCCATGAGCAGTGGCCAGTTTCTCAGGGGAAAAAGGCCTTGGGCCTCTTCCTCCAGGGACTTTTATTGGGTTGTAATACACAGGAATACTGGGTGGCAAGAATCAAACTGTAGATAACATTTCAAAGAAATCTGAGGGCTTAGTCTGAGTCAGAGTCTGTCAGGAAGAGAGTTTTGCAGAAACTTTTAGGGTTTCCTGCTGGAACCCTTAACATATGAATGAAAACACTCTTAGCAAAGCAGGTTTCACAGGTTTATCAGGAAATCTTTGTGATGCCAGATTTTTCCCCAGGACACACTCTAGCGAGGCAAGGAGCTGCACCCCTCCCCATCAAGTATTCAGGGTTAAGGAGATTAGAGTCAGGAAGCTCATGTCCCAAAGGACATGGGGACTTGGGCTATGTCACATAGGTGGGGGGGGGGAGGAAAAGTCCATTGCTCTTTGTTGCAGCCCCCCAAGTCCTTCCATGATGGTCTCCCAAGTGGTAGAGGCTGGGTTAGGTTGCTCCCTGCTGTGAGGGGTCTTACCTGTCATGGACTTCCAACCATGTTTTGGGGGCTGGGAAAGGAAACTGAGGCAGCATTTGCTACCAGAGACAAGTTTTGTCTCCTGTGGGTCATATTCCAGAGGTCACTCGCTCATCCTTAGCCACAGAGGAGTTAAAATGTCTGAAACCAGGCAGAGCGGTCCACAACAAATGAATGAATGAATGAATGAATGAATGAATGAATGAATGAATGAATGAATGACTTAAATATGCCAAAAAAATACTGTACATCCATACAGTGGAATATTATTCAGTCATTAGAAGGAATGAAGTATTGGCCCATACTACAATGCACATGAACTTGAAAACGTTATGCTAAGTGAAAAAAGTCAGACACAAAGACAACGTATTATATGATTTCATTTTTGTTAAATGTCCAGAATAGGCAAGCCTCTTAGATACAGGCAGTAGATCTGTGGGCCAGGTTACGGGGAGGGAGGCAGGAGGCCACTGCTAATGGGCTTCATTGGAGGGTGATGAAAACATTCTAAATTGATTACTCTGATGGTTACAAAACTTTATGGATGGATACACGAAAAGCCACTGAAGTGTACACTTTAAGTGGGTAAGTTATATGTTATATGATTTGTTATGATCTGTTATGATTAAGCACAAAAGAACTCCATGAGAGCATTTTAACATCTGTAGATGTGAGTCCTTTGCGCAGCCGTACCATCATTTATTTAGATTTCTACTGTTGGGCCTTTATGTTTTCTCTTAACTCCTATGTTTCAAAACATTGCAAACACACTCAAAAATTAATTGAATAGTACAATGAACACTGGTAACCATCACCCACTTCAATAATTATCAACATAATTTTTCTTTTCCAGGCATTGATCTGATGAACATTCTTGTGCATAAATCTTTGTCCACACAAAGATTTAAATGTTTCCTTCCATTTACACCGAAGGGAATTCAATTCAAGTCACTTCCTCAAACCTTCACAGTGCGTTCCCAGAACACCCCAGGGATGTGACGGATCAGACCCTGTTCTGCTCTTTGGAGGCTCCAGTAGGGGAGGTATACACTGGACTGTGATCAGCAAGGGCAGGAGCAGCGTGACTGGAGCGTGCCCTCCTTCTAGTAACAACCTGTTTCCCAAACCTCTGCACAGCCCTTTCTTCCCTTGTGTGTGCCACATGGGGGCGCCAGAACCTGAGTCATTCATGGCCTCCTCTGGAAGCCCTCCCACCAGCACCCTAGGTGAGTGACTGGGTGGGTTCTGTTCTCTTTCTCCTAGTGGCCATGGCCCTCTCGTGGGAAAATGAAGAAGGCGGACCCACCAGTGCTGTAGCATGGTCTCCCACCGTTAGCCTGCTCTCATGAGCAGTGTGTCCTGGGCTCTATTCCCCAGCAACTGCTTCTAGGAATTCCAGGGACCCATTTGAGTGCCCCTCCACTTTGAGTTCCAGGAGAAATGAATGCCTATTAAGATCATTTTCCACTTTTTTAATGAATTTATAGAGGAAAGAGAAGGAGAGAAATATCAGTGTGTGATTGCCTCTCGTGCGCCCCCTACAGGGGACATGGCCTGCAACCCAGACGTGTGCCCTGACTGGGAATCGAACCAGCAATCCTGTACTTTAAAAGCTCAGCACTCAATCCACTGAGCCACAGCAGCCAGGGCAACTTTCCACTTTTTTACAGAGGCCTACAGGAAGCAGCTCATCACTGTGAGAGTGACTCAGGCCACAAATCTGCGTGGTAGGTAAGGTCTGCCTCACAGCTGCCCATTCTGGGAGCCACTCCAGTGTGGGCAGTGTCAGGGACACCCCAGCTGCAGTAGCAAGGTTAGGGTCGTGGGTGGAGGAAGAGAAAATGAGTCACCAGGGACTTCCAAAGGCCTGGCCGAACCGATGTCCAGCCCAGCCCAGATTTGGGCCCCAGTGGGCACAGGCTGCGGAGAACCGCGAGGACAGATGTGTCTGGCCTGAAGGCTGGGTGAAGGGACAGGGTGTTTGCTTTCCTGACAGGTCTTCTCCTGAGCTGGGAGCGTCTCTAGTCTTGTGACCTCCCCCGTCTGGGCAACTTGAGGGGCCATGGCCAGGCTCTGGGCCTGGATGTATCCCCCTGGGCTGCCTTTTCAGCTATGACTCCAACACTGCCCTCTGGCCTTGCCCCTGCTCGCCCCTGGTCCTCCTCTTAATCAGCGAACTGGCTGAAACCAGGCCAGAAACCACTCCCCAGATGGCCAAGCAGTTCGGGCAAGAAGGGAGGAAAGGACCAGCTCACATCCTGAGAATCTAACAGGGGTGTCAAACTCATTCTCACTGGGGGCCACATCAGCCTCGCGATTGTCTTCAAAGGGCTGAAATAATTTTAGAACTGTATAAATGTAACTACTCCTTAACGGTAAGGAGTTTAAATTACAGTGGGCCCTTTGAAGGCAACTGCGAGGCTGATGTGGCTCCTGGTGAAAATTAGTTTGACACCCCTGATCTAGTGTTTGTTGGCTGGCCATGGGCGAGTCACGTTGTGTGCATCACCGCATTTCTCTCCCACAGCAGCAGCCTCGTTCTGCACTCAGTTCACAGAGGAGGAAGTCAAAGCCCAGCCCAGCAGTGTGAGCGAGCGCTCAAGCCCAGGCTGGCCTGACTCCTGCCTGTGTCTCTTTCCTTCTCTCTGCCTGCTTCCTGTGCTGTCTCTGAATCTTTGTGCACAATGCCTCCCTCACCGGCTCGTCCTTGCTGCTGCTCTACTTGCGCTCTCACCCATGCCCACCCAGCTGCACATGCAGCAAGGTGGGTGCACGTGTGTAGCCAAGCCCTGGAGGACACGTATAAGGCATGTCATCTGGACAAGTCACTTCACTTCTGGGAGCCTCAGTTTTGTCATCTCATGGAGGTTGTTATGAGAGTTGAAGTAGATATTATGTGTAACCCTGTTAGTATCTTGCCTGGCTAGAATGCTCAATAAAGGTTAGCTATTTTAAAATTTTAACTACTTTCATTGTTATTGCATACATGCGTTTTTTGTACACTCTCTACACATGTAACAAGCCACATGCAATGTACACAAGGCAACAAGGACTGCCTCGAATACCAGCACGCCCATGTAAAGACCCACAGTGAAACAGTCAGTCACCTGCTATGTAACGTGCCGAGGTACCTGAGCAGCTCTCCTGGGGTGGGGTTGGGGAATACCTGTGGGACAGAGGCCAGGGAGCCCAGTCTGGGGTCCACCCAGGCAGGCTGGGAGGGAAAATTCATGATCAGTGTGTGGTCTGCAGACCAATCTAGGACCTTGTGAGAATCTTGAAGACTGTCTCTCACATCCCACCCCAGACATTGTGAATCAGAATTGCATTTAATAAGATCCTCAGAGCCCTGGCCAAGTAGTTCAGTTGGTTAGAGTTTTGTCTTTACAGGGCACATACAAGAATCAATCAATGAATATATAAATAAGTGGAACAACAAATCGATGTCTGTCTGCCTGTCTGTCTCTCTCTCAGATCAATCAATCAATAAAAAAACATAAGATCCTCAGAGCATCAAGGCAGATAGGAGGGAAGTGGGCAGAGCTGCTGTCCTTGAGTGGGGGAAGGCTGGCCCTGGGCCTGTCCCCAAGTCTCCAGCCTACGCTCACAGCAGGCCGCCACACCTCCCGTGTCCTCCTCTGTGCTCGGGCGTAGTGCCAGGTGTAAGGGTATCCAGCTCAGCTCTGGAAGGACAGCCTGCCCCCCTCAACCCTGTTCTAGAAGAATATAAATAGTAAGTTTCTCCCCGGTCCTTCCCAGGCCTCTGACAGTGTGGGGGCTGGGAGCCACTCCAGGGCTCAAGCAACTGGTAGAGGGCGCCTTCCTTCAATCCCGCTCCTGAAGTGTGTCCATATTCATCTATGATTCTCCCACCCAGCATCATGGCAGCAGGCTCACTGCCCGAACTCCGGCCGACCTCACCTGCCTTGAGTGAGGTGTGGGCTTAATCCCTTAAGGCTTTGGGAGCCTGAAGCCTGGGTCGCTGCCCCTTCCCTGAGCCTGTTGGGGCTAATTTTAGGGCTGCCTTGACAGCTGTCTCAGCTCAGCCTGGGTCAGTGCCCAGCCACTCAGTGCTGGGGTCAGCTGGGGTCTGCTGGAGAGTAGCCCAGGCCAGCCCCGGCTTTGGCTGCAACATAGAAAACTAGAATCCTTAGCCCCTGGCCACCATCTCCACTCCCCAGAGAGCACCCCTTAGTGGTGCCCAGCAGGATGGGATGGGAGCTGGTCCTGCTCTCAGACTCTGCAGACAGACAAATCAAACCCGTGGAAACCCAGAAGCCACAGAGGTCGGGGAGCTCAGGCCCTTGGGAAAAGGCAGAGGGGCCAAGGTCTTGGCCAGAGTCACAAGCAAGTGACAGCAAAGCTGGGGCACGAGTCCAGGTCTCGTGGTGTGCGGCTGGGTTCCAGGGTTGGGTAGCAACTCAGAGGGACCCAGCATCTAAAATAGCCCATGGAGGTCAAACCCAGCGTTAGTGACTTTCTGCCTGGATGGTGCACAGAGATGTCCCTTCTCAGGGTCCCTCCCTGATGCCAACCCAGTACATGTTCTTGTGTCCCCGTGCTGTGTCCAGCTGTCAAGGATGCTGGAGCAGATGGCACCTGGGATAGCTGACAAAGGAAGGATTTTAGCCTCTGAGGACAAAGGAACTGAGTGTTTCCTCTGTCACCAGCATTCTGGTCCCTGGTTCCCTCACTGATGAAAGGGATGAGGCGACATATACAGACTGGTTGGGAGCACAGAGGAGACGCATGGAGGATGAAAAGAGTTGCCAGGACCTCGGAGTGAGCTGTGCCCGCAGGGCTGCCAGCAGGCTGAGAGCCTGCGCCCCCTCCCGTGGGGAACCTGGCTCCTTCCCACGGGGATTCTGGAGCCTGAGGGGCACCCACCCCTCTGTCTGCTTCCATCCCCGTTCTGTCTTCCACCCAGTGATGATGCAAGAAAACAGGTCTTGAAACCAACCTCAGCAAGAGGAAAGGAAAAAGAAAGCAGGGGTCACAGAGGGAAACTGTGGTTCTCCCTCCTCCCCCAGCCTTTGCTCCTTCTGCCGCCTCTGTTGTCCCCCGACTCCTGCCGGGCCCTTCTCCCTGTTGTCCCCCACCTCCCAGCTCCTCACCCATCCCTTCCCCCCAGCTCCTCTGAATTCCCTGACGCTGGAGCCCTGTGTTCTGGCCCCTGTGACTCCCTGGGCTTGTGTCTGCGAGTGGGAGTGTGGGTATGTATGTGCATGTGCACACGGGGCTTTGCAACATATGGCTGGCGCTCAGCAAATATTGAACAGCCCACTTCAAATCCTTTTGGAAACAGGGCTATGTGTTCATGAATAAATAGATAAATATTGACTGAGTTTTAAAGTACACACATGTACCCTGAAAAAAAGCCTTGTTTATCCATTCCGCCCAGTAACAAGTTGATTCCTACAGTGGACTCTCCAGATGACTGCGAGGTGGAGGAATCGCAGGTTTAGGAAGGAGGGAGGCATTCCAGGCGGAGGGGACGGCTTCAGCCAAGGCTGGGATCTGGGGGACGCTCAGTTGTCAGGGGAACAGCATGGTGACCTGAGGTGGTAAGGCTGGCAAAGTCCAGATCAAGGAGCAACTTGAATGCCAGGCCAAGGAACTGACTTTATCCTGAGGGCAATGGGGAGCCATGAGTGAATTTTGACCAGGGGAATGATGAAGCTGGATGTGCTGTCGGTAGGTTCTCGCACTGGCTGTTGCGTGGAACATGGATTGAAAGCAGAGAGAGCGTATCAAGGAACCCTCAAGATTCAGCGGAGAGAAGATGAAGTATGAGGTTGAGAAGTAGACAATCCCCAGGATGTCACAGAGGGATGACAAGGACTGAGTGAAAAAGGGGATGAGAGCAGGGAGGGGCTGAGGAGAGGCTGTGTGACCTCGGGTTCCTGGCCCCAGCGACCAGCTGGCTGGAGGTGACATTGCCGAGGCTGAGAGAGGAGCAGGTCGGGGAAGATGCAGAGTTCAGCTTCGGACGTGCCAGGGGATGTCTGACGAGAGGTGGGGATGGGTCCGAGGGCTGGGGCCCGGCAAGTCTGAACAGATCCTGTCTGAGTACATTCTCCAGATGCCTTTCAGGTGTCCCAGGTACCCCAGAAGGGTCTCCTGGCGCAACCACTAAGGGTCTCCAAGACGGCCTGGGATTGAGTCCCAGAGAAGAACAGGGGATAGGAACAGCAAAGGGTCTGACCAGGATGAAGGGGAGGGTCTGGAGCCAAGGATGAAGGACACCCTCAGGGCACAGAGGTCTGAAGAAGGGTGGAGCGGAAACCAGCCAAAGGCGGGAGGGGCTGGCAGAACTTAGACAGCAGTCAGCCGGAGGCCGCCATTGTACAGACAGGCAGCAGGAATCCTAGTGAGGGGCGGGGACGGGCCAAGCAACAGAGGAGGCAGACAGATCAGCAGCTCCTGGCCTTAGGCTGTCCCCGGGGCCACCCTGGCTGGGAGTGGTCAGCTTGAAGTGACTCTGAGATTGAGCTTTCTGGCCATGCCCAGGTGTTATGGGCTTGTCTGGTCCAGAGGCGTGAGCTGGGGCAGACAGGTGAGAGCCCAACCTCTCACCAAGCAGCACCCCGAAACCCACTGTCAGCCCAGCTCAGCCTCTGCTATTACGTTCTCAGCCCCAGGCCCCAGGCTGGGCTGCTGCTGAGGGGGGAAGCCCAGACCCTGACCTGGGGAACTCACAGCCCAGCGCTGAGCTCACTCCCAGCACAGGCTGCTGTGCATGTCAGAGGACAGGGTGGGTGGGTGGGGGCGGGCACTGTGGCGTCACAGTGTGTTCCACACAGAGTGAGCTGCGATGGGGGCAGTTTTCATCAGCAAATGCCTCTTCGGCACCTGCTCAGTGCCAGGCTCTGTTCCAGGATCTCAACGCAGTGAACAGGTTTGTGTTTTAACTGGAGAATGACAGTAAACAAATACACAACACGTGTTATAATGCCGAGGAGGGACGAGTGGGATGAAGAAACACAGAGCAGGGTAGGGACACGCAGGTCAGCGGGGAGTGTGGAATGGCTGTTTGATAGGAAAAAACCCGCTTGTGGGCCTGGTGGTCAGCGGGGAGTGTGGAATGGCTGTTTGATAGGAAAAAACCCGCTTGTGGGCCTGGTGGTCAGCGGGGAGTGTGGAATGGCTGTTTGATAGGAAAAAAACCCTGCTTGTGGGCCTGGTGGTCTGGGTGATTTTGGCCAAGTCCCTGCTCCCGACTCCCTGCCTCAGTTTCCTATTGGGACTCGAGCTGAGATATCTCTGAGGGGCCCCCCTGGCCTGACTATTAGAAGAGCCTGGGGGGAATGACCAGCCTCTCTCACAATGTCAAGCCCCACCCACCTGCTCCCACTCATCAGACCCCCTCCACCCAGGACAGCTCAGCCCCTCCTGGCAGGGAGCCTGGCAGGAGATGAGGGGCCAGGGTCCCGGGCACTGCCCCAAATATAGCCTGGCAGGTATAGGTGATTCACCTGCTGGTGTCAGGATCCAGGAAACTGCCCAAAGTAGGGGGTGTGTCAGGAGCACCTCCTGGCTGGCCTCACCTGGGAGGGCGCTGGCCTTTCTTAAGGATCCTGCTGCTCTCCAGGAGGCCCAGACTGCAGCCAAGGTTGCAAGGGGCCCGGGACCTTGCCACTGCCTGTCCTCTCTGGGCTCAGTCTCCTAGTCCGCACACAGGGGAGCGTTGGGGCTGGATAATCTTTAATGCGCCTTCCAGCTCTGAAGGCCCGTTCTGTTGAGTACGTTGCAGGAGGCCCAGGCCTCTCTAACGGTTCCCTGGAGGCTCAAGGCAGAGGGAAGTGGCAGATTCCGGGATGGGGGTGGGGTAGGAGAAGGGTTGCCAGGTTTAGCAGCAAAAATGTGACTTTCAGATAAGCAATAAATAATTT